CTTTTTGGTGAGATGGTCAATTGCATTAGCATTGTATTTGTAACATATTAAGCTAGCAATAGTTCATTACGGCTCCTCTGAACATTCCTCCCTACTGAGTCACTGAAGTCTGAGTGGTTCAGAAGTTAACAGCCGAACTTTTTCACTTCTCTAGAAGAATGTTAAATTCTTCACCACAGCTCTGAAGACGTTAACTACCTAAGGATCTCTCCAGCATTCAGAGGTAAAAGCTTTAGGAATGCTTTAAGGGTGGTAGCAATTTCTGAATTACCAGAAATACATTTTGGGTGCCATTAACACTGGTGTGTTCTAGTAGTTTCATATCTGGAATGAACGGATGGAAAAGAAAGCATGGCTGCAGCCTTAAATGCATTTAGCAGAGAGCAAGTTCCATTGAATATAGGGGAACTCACTTTCAAGTGAGCACACAGGATTGCTCTGCAAGATTTTGTGTTTGGGCCTTCACATAAACTCCTGGAATTTCCATGAAGGGAATTGGGGGGGGGGGGGGGGGCGACAGCTGAAATGTGTTTTCATTGATGCAATGCAAGCCTTAATCTCATTCCATGAAAACATGTTGTGGTCCCTAAGCGAGAGATAGCGGTCTTCCGAAGAGAGAATTCTGCTGAGTAAAACGTGCCTGCCCATTCCATCTGGTCTTACCCTTTAATTTGCCCCCACTGATGCCGAGGGGATCATAAGCCAGGCAGCAGCCCCTTCAGTGTCAGACGTGTGCTCCGTTGCTGCTGCCCAGGGGAAGAGGGGGCAAATTATTCTCCCTTTGATCAGAGATCCTGCCAACTGCTGCACTGGAGAAAACTTCAACCAGCCCCCAGTTTCCCTGGGGCCTGCTGCTTCTCTTTAGGAAGAGGGGTATTTCATTTCTGCCAGAGTCCTGCCACATCAGCCTTCTCAGAGCTGGTGTCCTCCGGATGCTTTAGACTACAACTTCCAGCATTCCTGACCATTACCCAATGTGGCCGGAGCAGATGGGAGTCAGAGTCCTGAACAAGTGGAGGGGATCAGCTTGAGGTGCACTGCAAGGCGGATGAAGCTAAGCAAGGTATCTGTCCATTGCGTCTTATTTTGCCTGGAAGCTATAGAGGGAGGGAAGTCCACAGTGTCAATCCCAGAAATGAGGTGAAAGTGACAAATGCTTCCTTGATGTCATCTTATTTGGCATTAGAAGCAAAGGACAAGCTCACATGCCACACTAAGCCACCCTGAGAAAAAGCCTCAGTGAGTTGCTCTTTACTCCCAGCACATGATCAGGAATTCTGCAACCTGTCCTGGCTTGCTTTTTCCTTCCTGCCCACTCCAAGCAGACAACCCAGGTGCCTTTATGGCAGAACTCCTTATTTACATGGTCCCTGCATTGGCACCCTTTCTGCAATCAGTATGCTGAGCTTACTGGTTTATGAGGGTAACTCCACCCTTTTCCTGTATCAGTTCACCTCATGCATATAATTTTCTGAGCTCTTATGAATATAGTAGCACATTTGCACACTTTTTTGAAATTCTGGGTCTTGCACAAGTATACAGGAGCCCAAGATCACCCTTCTACTATTTAGGCCAGCCGATCCGTATCCCCATCTTCTCAGTGTGCCTGTCCATTTTATCCTCCACTTCGATGCCTGCCCTGCTAGTGAATCCTTTTTAAAAAGGCAGCTTCCCCTACTCTGAAAGCTCCTTCTCTTGCAGCTGCCAGCCAGTTTTAGTTCCCTTCCTCAGCCTGCTTCTTATTTGTGCTCCACCCCACACCTCTGGCCTCCAATATATGCATATAGGTTCCAGAGTATTGATGTGGACTTGTAAGGATTTGCAAATACCAAGGCAAAGCAGCAAGTGGATTCAGCAAGTGGTTCTCCAAGTGGTTTGTTCATAGAAAGCAATCCCCACTGAAAATATCGCCACCATGACAATGTATCCTGAACAACCCACATTGACAAACCATCATAGGTTATTTGTCGTGAGAACCAGGTCTTAATGAGAATGGGACCAACTATAGTTTCTTTTCCAGGAAATCCATAGGACGGAACAGAATTGTAGGGCATGTAATGATGGAGGGGAGGCTGCATAATTGAGAGACGGTACTTCCAGATGAGGCTTTTATGGGGGATGTAGGTCCAGAGATCATTGTTTCCCCCTCATAAAATCCCCATGTTTCCTCACTGCTGCTTCTGCCAGTTTTCTTACCACAGAAAATCCATTAAGGAAAAAGCAATAGCCCCTTTTGAGTGGTAGTGCTGAGAGTCTGGAGACACCCCAAGACAAGGATTCCACACCATCAGCAAGCATCGTCCAAGCCAGACCTTCCAACTAGGTGAGTCAGTAGTGCAACATCATTTCAGTTCTTAAATGGTTGTAGTACACTTGCTTCAAAACTTGCCACACACCAACACATTAAAAGGGAGGGAGGTAAGACCTCAGAAATACTGGAAAGGCAACAGTTTGAGAAAAATGCCATCCAATTATGAGGAACAGTGCAGGCAAATGGTGTTTGTTTAGAAGGAAAAGCCTAGAGGGGGAAAAGCATCCACAATCTAACAGTAAAAAGTCAATTTATAATACATAGTTTTTGAGCATTTACTCAGAAGAAAGGGCTACTGAAGTCATTACAGCATATTCCCAGATAAGTCAGCATTTGAGTGGAGCCTTGATCATATTTTGCTGACTGTTTATTCCTCTGCCCAGTATCTAAAATATTTATTATTTCTAATGAGCATTTTTGAATTGTATATTAAAACTGTTTTATAGGAACCCAGAAGAGAGTCTTTCCAATGCCAAAGAACTTGCTTTCAATAAAAAGACATATTTAATAGTTCAGTGTGTTGATAGAAAGATTTTTACTGACAGTATGAATACACATATTCAATATGCATGGAAAATTGTGAAAGAATAATTGAAATGTATGGGTGATAGAAAGACTAATTATGTTCCAGGTTATTATTGCTTTTTAATGTATTCATATTTTTTATTTTTGCACTTCCCACTTTTTGCATTGAAAGGTAGTTTACCGACGCTCATAAAATACAGTCATATCAGTAATTCCTCTAATGATCCCCTCATTATGATAGTGATGCTGAGCTGAGGATTTCAGCTAAGGTGGGTCATGGGTCTAGAAAGGCTGAAGATTACTGCTTTTACCAGGCAATCCTATTGGCCCCACTGTACATACCCAGAGGCTTAAGTGCACCCAATGGTATTTTATTTAAATTGACATTTTTGCCCATCTAAATAAAGCATCAAGGAAAGGAATTGGCATCATTTAATGCCGCTAGACTCCTCTCCTTCCTGTCCACTGGCATGCCCTTTTCCTGCCTCTCCCAAGTGTATATCAGCTCCTGGAAAGGCATCTGGCACAGTTCTTTCTCACTGACTGCAAGGAGGAAGGATGGAAAGTCAGTAATCAGGGTCCAAGGGACTCCAAAGAATCCTATGGAACCCCAGACAATGGCAGGCGGTCATAAGATTGTGTCCTTAGGCATACACACATTTACTTGTGAATATGTCACAACCCAATAGAATTTCTATCTGAATGAACAAGCCTTGGATTATGCTACATATCTTGCATGGAACATTTGTGTTTGTGAAAGTCAACAATAACACCCTCCCAACACTCCAATAACACCCTAATACCACATGACCAATTGCAGCTGTGTTGTTAGATTAATTGAGCAACATAATAGCTTTATTGCACTGAAGACTGCCTTATCTATCGCCTCAGCTTTTCTGTGTGCCTAATTATAGTCTTTCATTCCCTTTAATTTGTGTTATTGTTTTCCATTCCCCTGCAACAGTCTATCTGATTAGCCGAAAAAGGGAAAAAAATCAAAATAATGATGCAAAACCTCATTTAGCTTGTAAAACAATTCAAATGTGCACTTAATGTTCTTGGAGTGGAAGTCTGAACTTCCCCAAATGGCTAAATGGCTGTCGTTTTGCCAAGATGAAAACATAGCTGGAGTGCAGCCGAGATAACTTTTCAGAATCCCCCTGTGGAAACCTGTTTTGCAGCCAAAGTAATGTGAAAGGCTGGAGAGAAATTTACAGGAAGAACCACTCCAGTGAAGGGAGGGGGTGAATTTTGTTTATGTCAGAGGGGTTACCAGTGGCTAAATGGCCTCCAGATGTGCTGAGAGGATAGATACACTTAGCAGTGTGTTGCACGCTAATAGTTGTAGGCACTTCCTTGTTTGGAGCTGTGAGTAGATTTGTCTCTAGAGGATCTCAGCAAAGTAGAGGCAGGAAGGAATGAGAGGATAAAAGAGAAAGAAAGGAGGAAGTGAAGCAGTGGCGAAAAAAATAATGGAAAATATAACAACATTTTAGAAGTAAGTGTTTCTAAACAGCACTGTTTCTAAGTGCTTTTAGAAGCAGTGCTTCCATTCACACCTTGGTTCTGGAGCCTCCTTATCCAGAAGAAAATACAGAACAGTGCTACAAACCGTATTTTTCCATCTATAAGACTCCCCCATGTATAGGATGCCCCCCACTTTTCCTTTCGATCTCCAGCAAGCAAGTGGCTGCCCCGTGCGCATCACTTCACCGCCCCCCCTCCCGTGCACCCCCTGCCCGATTGCACCAGTCTCCCCCTGAGGGCCTCCCCCGCCCATACAAGACAAACCTCCATTTTTAGCTAAATGTTTAGCATCTTATACATGGAAAAATACGGTAATATTCTTGTACTCACGCAGATGGCTATAGTAACTTTCTAAGGGGGACTGTTCAGTGAGAATATTAAAATGTGTAGCATCCTATCACTTATCAGGACCTTGCTTTTCCTTACAAAAGGAAGACGGCAGTGGCGAACAACTTCATTTGAGAACAAATGCAATGATGTCGGATCCAGACTCAATTGTGCTTCAAGCAGACCCACTGAAATCCATGGGTCTTCAGTGAGACACAATTAAGTTCTGTTGCTTTCCTCAGTTTACTTTAAGAATGACCAAACTATATGACAAATGAATGCTTCGATAAAGGAAGGTTCTGTTCCTTAATAGATAAAATGTCACTTTATTTCACCTTTTCAAAAATGGGCAGGATTGCATTTGTCAGTATTTCTAACGTTAACATAAGCAGTCTCTGGCACCATGCCAACAGCAGTTGCTAGCATGGCAGGTTTTGCTGGAAAACTGAACACACCAACAAATTCTACTGGCATCGCATTAGAGGTCGCTTCTGCAAGTACAAAATACTTTCCATCAGCAATTGTGTGAAATACGATTGCTTATTTCTTATTACATTATTGCTGTTAATGTATTCACACATAAGAGAATGATAAAATACAACCTGTGTAGCACAAGCAAGACCAGACACAACTCTGCGCTGTAAGAAGGAAACAGTAATACTAAGCTTTGCATTTTAATCCTTTGTGACATACTGGTTGAGAAGCATTTTTTAAAACTTAACTCTGCATTAAAATATGTTTATTTTACCTTGTTTCTGTCTAAGAGTTGGGCGTTTGGAGTAATTTGGTTTCTAGCAATAGTTTTCTGTCTTAGCAATGCAATGTAATGCAAATGATGGAACAGCAGGCCCCTAATAGCTTCCACCAATTTATTGCTGAGTAGAGGGGAGCTTATGCTTGTAGTTTTGCTGACAAAAGATGAAGTTGCTTTCTTTTGCAGGTTCATCAAAATGAAGAAATTGCATTGTTTTCATTTGTTTCTTTTAAATGTATTCGTAGCAGGCACTGTCAGTTTGGTAAGTTTTACACTCTGCAAGATTATTTACAGTGTCTTCTTGCTTGCTTCAAGTAAAAACCTCAAGATAAGCTTATTTATATGTAGAGCATTGTGGGTGAATTTGCATAGCATGGAAACATATTCTGCAAATAAGCTATACAATGGCTAGGTTCAACCAACACAGCAAGCCATGTTGGTGTTGTGAGCTGCATTTCCCCCTTCAAACAAACATCAACTTCAGGTCATTTATCTTGCATAACACTCTTTATTGCTTCCAAATGCAAATAAAATGAGTTTCTGAGCATACACAAAGCAGTTTGTTGAACCCACTCTAGAGATCTCTAGAGAACCCTCTCTCCTTATGAGCATGTTTGTGCCCCACTCCTTCGGGAGGGCCCCTCTGAAAGCAGGCATGTGTCCTCACCACTCACTGCGCATCTAATTGGGCCTCTGCTGGCACCTTGCCAAGGGGTCCAGCTCCAAGGGGAGGGGTTGATCTGCATTTGGGAGTTCCTCATTCACTGCAGTCTCTCCCAGTGGCTTTGCATTCAAGTTGCTCTCAGGAATGGTCTGGTGATGCAGACAGCCTTGAAACAATCATCTCCTGCTGCTGCATTCCACATCCTTGAGCCAACCCAAGCTTCACAATCTCACTGAGACGGTCCTCCTCTGAATCTGAATAAGTATCTCTGACGTGGATCATGTCTATGGGAATGCTTGCCGAGGCCTGCCACTCCCCTTGCTCCCAACAGGTAGGGTTTTGAAAACCATTTTTGGTCTGAACACATAGTATTTCACCATGGTAAGTCTAGTCTTTACAAACCATCATAGGAAACAACAGTTGGCTCTATGGTTTCTCTGTATCATTGTGGTTTGTTGGGCTGTCTGAACCAGGATCATAGTTTCTACAGTCCTTTTATGCAACTACCACAGAGTCCTCTGAAAAGAGAGCTTTGGCTGTTGGGTGATATAAAAATTAATTAATTAAAAATAAACTGTAGTAGCTTCTCCAGTAATCCAGCTCCTATGTGCAGACCAATGAGGGAAAAACATAAGCAGAGAGCGATTCACCTTGGGATTGAATTTTAAGCACAGTGACTGATGGGATATGTGTCAACAATAGGAGGGTTGAATGAGGAGGGTGGAAAGCATGACAAGTAGAAAACACTTGATCATTTGTTAGGTAGGTCATGGTGCAAACCCATTGACTATGGTACCACACAGGGTTGGTTTCTGTGTTGTGTGAACATGGATTGTTCTTGGAATAACCCATGGTGTGTCTAAAGAAAAACAGGCCTCACTATGGGCTATCCTCCTTTTCCTTCCCTCTTGGTCTTCCAGCAGGTACCCCAGGAGAATTGGTAGCCCAGGGGACCTGAAATCTGTGTATCTTTGTGTGTGTGTGTGTGTGTGTGTGTGTGTGTGAGAGAGAGAGAGAGAGAGAGAGAGAGAGAGAGAGAGAGAATCCTGTGAAAATCCCAATTTCAAAATAAACATATTCTTTTGAGAGCTGCCCAAAATTAATAGTCCCAGAAATGGGATAGGATGCACTTTTCCCCTTTCCTGAGCACCTAGAAAGCTTGGGAAATGATGGAAGGCACTGAGAACTCTGAGATCAACATTTTAAAATTAACAGATTTCTTTGCGAAGGAAATAATACAATTGTCACCCTCTTTCACAAGTGAAGTTCTTTTCACAGTTTTGCTTTTCACTTGACAGCTCATTTTTTGACAACTGTCAAGCAAGGAACAAAACAACAAAATAATCTATTTGCAGCCTAGCTTACTCATTGGGAATTCCTAAGGGGATTTGTCAATGTGATCACTTTTTGAAAAATGTTTTGAAATCTTTCATTTGTTTTTGTGATTGTTCATCTGTCACTTGCATCCCATGTTGGAAAAAGTCCCTTCATAGCTTCCTGTTGATAATTTGATCCAGTAACTCACCCACAGTCCTCCCAAGATGAGCTTTTTGGGGGTATTGTTCTACTGTAAGAGCTTCAGGTTACCTAAAACTACCACCAGGAAGGACTTCCATCTAACTATATGTGAATAATAATGTCCAGTCTGGGCTATCACTACACAGAAATCAATGAAAACCAAAAGGTGAGATGACTGAACATGACCTTTGAGTCACAAAGAATATTTGCTTTTTCATTTTCCTTAGTGGGCAGTTCAGATTGTCATGTTCGGATGTATGAAGCATTCATACAATTCAGTCTTTTCAATGGTCACGCAAAAGGCAGAAAGAGAGTATCTTGTTGTCTGCCCTTTTAACTTGGCATAAACCTTCCTTAAGATAATGTACTGATTAGTTGTTAACTTGTAAGCGGCCATGCAAGACTATAACATAAAGGGTGTCTCTATGTGTTCATGGCAGCAGCTGGGATAACCATGTGATTCCCTGTCCAAGCCACACAATTTGACAGCAGCTGTGTAATATCTGGCTTTGAGTTGAGAAAATAACAAATAAATTGCTGCATAGGGCAGGCAGAGCCCGTTCCACTCAATCTGCTTCCAATTAGTGATATAGCCCCAAGCTAAATAGCATTTTTCCCAATGATTATGTCATGATGTTTTTTGCTTTGTTTCTGTCAAAGCATTTTAAAAGGCAAAAGAAAACAATCCCCAAATTTGTGTGTTTCAAAAGGTATTTTCCCTACTTCTGCAGCGTTCCAGCTCAGCAGCTTTAATTCCAGTTACCTGTGAAATACACTTACACCACAGAAAACTGGACTGGTGCATAGGATTCACTGCTGTTCTGGCTTCTGTCAAGTGTTGCCCTTGTGATTTTTCTCCAGAGACAGCAAATCTGGGCCTTAAATGAAATTGCCCTTAAACGACCTGTAGAAAAATTAGTGAGAGGGAAGGACCCTAGTTAATACCTCCGATCTGATTCGTTCACATGGATTTTTGAACCTCCACCCACAAGTGTTTTCGTAAGTACATATGCACAGAAGGAGAGCCATTGTCCTGGGACCTTGTAATGGACTACTGATCATCTTAGAGGGATATGCTAGGAAGTGTAGCACTTTTCTGTCTATACCTGCAAAGGATCCATAGCTTTCTGGCATCTTGAGAATCAACAGCTCAGATAAGGGCACAAGTCTGTGCATGTTAAGACAATAACTGATCCAGGGGTTGTAGGACTTTTTTTCTGTCTGAGCATAGAAGGGTACGGTCCTAAGTGGGGCAGCTGGGGCTGGATTCAGGCCATGGACCAGGGCCTCACAACCCGGGGGAATGACCATCTGAGAGCAACAGGTGATGGGATGCAGTGGCAAACAGGGCCAGATATGGGCCTATCAGGGGTCACCAGTACCAATACCAGCTGTGACAGCATCCTTTGCCTCTTATTTTTTTAAGAAAGAAAAGGAAAAACAGCCAAGAGTTGAGCAGCTGGGCACGCATATAGTTGCAAGTGTTCATTTTATTATTTTTCATTAAAATAATATTATCCTTTTCTCCAGCAAAATGATGCTTTGTTCCAAGGCAATGAGGTTAGCATCAGGGCAGCAGAAGCAAACACCGTTTTATTCCCATGCAAGAAGATGGTGCAATGATTTAAAATGAGCTCAAAACGCAAAGGTGCACATTGATTTTAACCTGGAATGTTATTTAGGCCAGATGATTAGTCTTTGGTGGTTCTGCTATATTTTCCCAGCCTACTGATTGCACACACTCAATGGCTCTCACGAACTACTGGTGACCCCAAACTTTTGCACTTTGCCTTGAGGCCTTCACAATCTCAACCCCAATAGCAGTTGGGTCCATTGACAAAGAAGTAGGTATCCCCAAGTCTAAATAAATGTTGTCCTCCACCTCCACACATAAAAATCACTGTGAAAATCTGCTCCCAAACCAAGTTTTAAGATTGACAGTGGTGAAGGATGCTGGCAGGGAAGTGGGTGAAATCCAGCGGGAAAAGGGAAATGCGGTGCAAAATCCTCTGCAGATGGAGATCTTGTGTGCTTTAGAAAGCAACATGAAGCCCGGACAATATGAAGCAATGGCAATTTATTTATTCATTTATTTAAATATTTCTTGGCTGCCTTTAAGGCAAGCCCTCTGCCAGAGCAGCATACCATAAAAGCCATCATAAAAACAGTGCCATTTTAAACATGATAAAATACAAGCAGAACAGGAAAACATCACCCACAACAGCAAACGTATTAGGTGGAGGCCTGAGTAAAATAGCCTTTTTTCAGGATTTCCCTAAAAGTCTGCAGTCATGCGGGCTTTACAGACTTCCTGTGGCAACTTATTCAGGATGCAGGGGCAGTGTGGAAAGGCCCTCTATTAAGTGGATGCCCACAGTGAGAAATGAAATGTTACTGTTACTAAGTGTAAATGTTAAGGTGAAAACCAAAGAAAGGGTGAAATACAGGGCTAGGACGAATCACTGAAGTCTCTTAAGGCCAAAAGGCCTGAGAATAGAATTGTGTAAATAGTTGTACTAAGAGTAATAGTGTTTCTTACATCAAAGTCCTGAAAATTGCCAGAGAGTGTAAATTGGGGGACAGTGTAAAACTGTCACCTTCCATGGAAGAGAGCAGGAAATTGATTACCTTTTTACAACTGACCGTAATGAGCCTGGAGGAAGGCCTGTTCTTCCTATCTCATCCTTCCACAAGATTTAAGAAGCAAGTAAGAATCTGCAAGGCCACTCTGACCTGTTGAACTTTTAAAAGATACTGTGCATGCTTAATAGGCGCATGAATAGTAACTGACACACCTCTCATAGGTAATGGGCTCATTAGCATGAACATGGGATGTATGTGCAGGAGGGGGAGCATATCAAGGGGTAGTATGATGTAGGTGGATGGAGAAGATTGTACCTTCTGAGTAGGCCAGCCAATGGGAGAAAAGAAGAAGGGTCTGTGAGTCGGGAAAAGAGAATAAAAAGCAGTGTTTCATGTGTAAGCAGCATGCTACCTGTGTGGTGGGCACCCGCTCTTGCAAGAACGAATTAAACTACTGCTTGGTACCTTGCTTCCATATCGTCACTACTGGGATTTACTCCTGATACCACCTAACTGCTCTCACAGGTGGGCAAATGGGAACCCTAATTTTGCCTTCCCCAACCTAGTGCCTTTAAGATCGAGCAGATTTCAACTCCCATCAGACCCACCCAGCATGGCAACTGGAATTCTGAGAGTTGTAGTCCAAAAGATGTGAAGGGCACAATGTTGTAAAAGACTGGTCTAACATACTATTTTGATTAGGGTTATCCTGGATAATTTTCAAATTGTTACCAAGATTAGCAACCACAGTTTCCCTCTTCTGCAAAACATTAGCCTTGGGTGATCCCATGCCAGCATCAGTTAGACATTTGGCAAACACTTGTGTGCAAATATGGAGGGTTCATCAATTGCACAGCGGTGAAGGAATGTATGTTGCCGAATAGACAGCGGGAATCCACAGCCAGTTATGGCTCCCTCTCGTGTGCTTTACACATTGCATTTTCAGATGTGCACTTCAAAACATCTTAGGGGTGTACAATGTGTGACAGTAGCTAAACACATGTGTTTGCATTCATGCATCAGACCCATTGGTGCATAAAGCAGAAAAAGGCAGGAAATTACATGCGGGTAAGAGAAGCTGAACCCTCCCACATTTTGCTTCTTTTTCTGCTTCTTGGACACTTCTCTATTCATCAGTCTCACTTCCTGGATCATGGGTGGGCTGCAGAAAAGTTGCCTGGAGCAATAGAGTGGGGGAAGAGAGGGAGGGGTCCAGCTGTTCTCATCTCTGATGCCCCTTTGGATGGAAAGTGTGGCCTTCTCATCTCCTGCTTTCAACAGATACACAATTAAAAATGTATCTGTTACCTTTGTGCCTGGGCTGACTCTCAGGTGAAGCATAATGTGTAAACTGATATGAATGCCTGCATATGCATGCGGGGCGGGGGGGGGGGGTCAGATGCTGAAAATGCATAATGCATGGCAAGCTTGTGGGAGTGACCCAGAGTCTGCTTCCTTGCTTGGGTGTTCTGCAGCTGCAACGCCAGAAGAGGGAGCATGTGAGTTGCTGTATGTTTTTATAAATTCTGTAGATCAAAGCTTAATAGAAAGGCCTTGTAGGTCACCCTGAATCCACTAAAGCCTATTGCATCAAATAGGCCAACAGTGACAAAATCAAGTCTCTGTGTTTCTCTGCTGTGTTTGATGATTATCCTAGAATTCTGGTAACTGAAGCAAATGAAGAATGCACGCTTTAGTATTATGCATTATTGGTAGTCTCCCTTTCAACAGGCTTGCTCACAATGGCCAATGAAATTACAGCTGCGCAAACAGTACTGAGGGACACTTTTCACTTTAAAAGCAGGGCCAAGTTTTGGCTCCCTCCCATCTGCCTTTATTTTAAAATGAAAATCCCTTGTTTTCTTTGCATCTCTGTTCCCTGCTTGAATGATGTCATTAACATGCATTTTATTTGTTTGTTATATTTATATCTCACCTTTTTTTCCTTTCGAGGAACTCAAGGCAGCATATATAATTCTCTTCTTCCTCTCGGTCTTATCCAAACAACAGCCTGGTGTCAGGAAAAAAAAAAAAACTTGGTTCTCATCAGAATTGTCACCTTTAGCTCTGCATTTCACAAAAGTTCCTGCAGATCTGATCTCGCTTGCCCCAGAAATCATGAGTCCATGGAGCTGAACAAGTTGTTCATTTCCCCTTGGGTATCAATGATATCTGTGTAAATAGGAATAATACATTTCTCACTGAGCTTTTCTACAAGAGACATTTCTTCCACATTCCTCATTCCCTACTCACAGGATATTTTGATGACATACAAGCTTTTGATTGTAAACAGCCTTTCAGCAGGTTCTTTTGAGGGGCCGGAGGCAGGGGGAATGAAGTATTATTTCTGAAAGCAAAAGAAAATGCTGTTTTCAGTTTCAATTATGTATTTGCAGTATTCTGAAATATCACAGTGCCTGATAAGGTTATGTAATGGACAAGCAGGTAAGGAAATCTTCCTTGTGTGTTTATTTAATTAATTCTTTATTGCCTGATAGCCAAAGCTCTAAGTATGGCAGTTCCTGAACAGGAAAGAATAAAAACCATACAGTGTTTCAATAAAACAATTTAAAAGCAGCTTATCAAGTTAAAACAATTTGACAGTATTTAGTGCACCACACATAAGTACCCTATCAGCCATTAGATAACTTTAGATGACTTAGCACAGAGGGATGTCTTAACCTGGTGCTGAAATGATGACAGAGATAACTGGCCCTTAGGAAATTATCTTATGCTTTCATTGATATCTGGAAAAGGCACCTCATAAATGCATTTTGGTAACATGCAATTATGAAAATTCAGTTACAGTGCAATCCTGGCCACATCTTCTCAGATGTAGGTTCATCAAATCCGTTGGGACTTGTGTGTATCATAGCAGCTATTGTAACTCAGTGAATCAATGAAGTGGCTTTGAGAATACGGTAGTGGACAGCATATGAATGAAAGTATAAATAAATAAATACTGAAAGGTGGTAAATTTACAATCCTATGCATGTCAAAACAGAAAAAAACACCTTCATTTTGCAGCATTCTTCAAGACAGCCATGCTTCTTGGAGAATGCTGAGAATTCTAGGCCCTTTTTTTTGGTCTGAACATGTTTACCATTGGGCCTTAATCGATCTACTTAAAAAAAAACCTTTAAGTACTTGACAACCTTAATATATAATACGACTGTGTGTCTAGGCAGTAGATCGCGCTCAGCCTGCACCAAAAGGCCTCATTCTATGCCCTGTTGAAGGATCTGAGCCAACACGCAGGAAGGTTGCCTTTTGGATGGATTGTGCAAGCATTACCAAAGCTGCTTTGGACTGGCACAGTGCCTGTCCCTCTGGAATAGTTTCCTGACAAGCTGCCTAATCCCACCGCATGTTTTCCAGGCTGTTCTCCATTGCCATATATTGGATTGCACTCAAGGGTAGGAATTAAATGAAAAACAAACATCTGAGACTCAACACAAATATTTAAAAGGCAAGCATGCAATCAAGATCGCTCCAGAGTCAACATGCCTCAAGCAACAAACGCTTATTTAAAGCAGCCTAGAAATGAATACTGAAGGCGAGAGGGACTCTGAGTCTGAAAATAATATTCCACTCTGATTTTTTTTCTCCATGCATAGACATCTAAGTCCTATCCTCCTCACCTCCCTGCTCTCCCATCTAAGTAATTTCCTGCAGTTAGTCAACAAAAGTGAATCACATTTTTTGGAGTGAAAAGAGTATAGGGAAAATTGCAAGAAATCTGGTCCTGCAGTCATCTTCTGTTTAACCACAAGTAACTGTATTTAATTATGGCCCAGATTGTGTATGTTTCCTGGCTATGATAACAAATGTGTACTTTTAAGTCAAGCCAAAATGTAATTAAGTAGGGGGCAGGGAATCATTCGTGTTTTAACCAACACATCCTAATTCAGATTTGCCCTGACATAATTCCTCATGTGATCACATCAGTGAAAAGAGAATACTCAACAGACTGGATGATGGAACCTGCTCATATTGATTTCTTTAAATGAGTAGGTCATGAATCGGCACAAAGGGCAAACTGACCAAAACAACAGGATAATGTTGTTCCCCTGTGCCTGGTTGATACCTTTACTTGGGATAACAGGAATGAAGCAAGTATTATTCACTGTAGATTTAATCAAATGAGCTCCTTCTGGGATTATTTTCTGCTAAGCGATCAATTATTAATATTGGCAAAGTCAAAGTCAACTTCCATGGAGTACCATTTTTCCTCAATTGCCTTCCCTGAGGCACTCATGAAATTTGGATGCCCACTTTTTGTCATCTGAGCTCCAAAACAGGATACTTTTTAAGCACACCCACATGGTTAGGGGACTGCAGGTGGCGCAGTGGTTTAAACCGCTGTGCTGCTGGGCTGGTTGATCGAAAGGTCGCCGGTTCAAATCTGCACAACAGGGTGAGTTCCCGTTGCTCTGTCCCAGCTCCTGCCAACCTTGCAGTTCGAAAGCATGCAAATGCAAGTAGATAAAATGGTACCACTTCGGTGGGCAGGTAACAAAATTCCATGTACTTCGGTGTTTAGTCATGCCGGCCACATGACCATGGAGACTGTCTGTGGACAAATGCTGGCTCCCTCGGCTAGGAAATGGAGATGAGCACTGCCCCCTAGAGTCAGGCATGACTGGACTTAATGTCAAGGGGAAACCTTTACCTTTACCCACATGAGCCTTTCTTGAAATACTGCAATGCTCTTTAAACATCGGCAATTTAACTTTTTATTGATTAATTACACTGATCAATCAATAAAACCTTGGACTGCTATTAAGTAAGTGTATTTCATATTTTCAAACAGGCTCATGGAGCTGAATGTGATATGCTTTTATGGGGACAGGTGATGAAGCTGTGCTCTGGTAATGAGCAGTGCACTAATACCTGTCATGTTTTCCTTCTCCTTCACCAACCTGCTCTCACAGACTTTAGAGAGCTGTTTCCAAGAGCAAACACGACTCCGGGCACAAGTGAGACTTCTGGAACACAGTGTGAAGCAGAAACAGGAAAAAATTGTGCGACTCTTAATGGAGAAGGATGAGCAGAGCAGAGCTAGGGGAGGTGAACATAGTGTTGTTGATCTGGGAGAAGAAAGAGAATATAAAGGTTAGTACAAACCTAATTTCTTTGGTACAAATTTATTAGTAAATTTCTTTACTAATAAACTTGGTTCAGTCATCATGCAAGCCAGGATGTGTATCTATCATCATTTAGAATCCAAAACATGGGTGGAGCTTCCAAATACTCATCAGGCAAACCCTGGTTGCCTGCTTTCATTTTCCATCCTCTCTCATTTCATCAGTACAGCAGCCTTGTAAAGCAAAGCAGTGACCATAACTCTTGGAATGCAGACATCATACCAAACTAGGAATGTGCAACACTGAAGAACTCATTCTGTTTGAGCTCAACATACTTTCAACACATTTCCAACATGATGGCCAAAGTAGGCAGCACTGGGGGATGTTTTTGGCTTCCATGACATGGTCAAAATATCCGCACAAAGTTGGAATTAAGGACTATGTATCTTGTGTAATTTGCACTTCGGCAAGCAGCAGTTACTTTAACCTCTCCCTGCTGTATTTCAGACAATAATTAATGAATCCCCATTGTCCTTTAATCATTATGATAAATAAAAAGTAACCACAATAAATGTTTGTCAATGTTCCAAAGTATCATTATTTTATCTTGCATGTATCTAAAAGCAACCTCTCTCTGGTGCCATTAAGACAGGAAAATGAACCTTGTACAGCATTTTTATTCTACACAATGAAGAACTTATGGGCAGGGGTAGACAAACTGGTGCTTCCCAGAAGTTTTAGACCTTCAACTTCCTTAACTTCAAGACCATTGGCCATGCTGGCTGGGACTTATAGGAGTTGTAATTCAAAGCATCTGGAGTGTTGGCTTGTCTACTCCTGGCTTATGGCACAATTCAATATCTTCCTTCCTTGATGTGCATAAGCCTTTACACACAGATGTTTCCAGGTTTCCATGCATCCAGAGCAGAGGGCAAAGTGGAAGGTAGCAATCTTCATTCCCTGCATTTCATCTAGACAGCCAGCCAGTTGTGCAGAGTGGGTTAGGGAAGGAGGCAGGGGTGCTGTCTGAATGCAGCATAAACTATTTGCCCCACCTTTTCCTCTCGCATCCTCCTTAGCCCTCTGCTTTAGCCCCTCTGGGGCAAATTTCCAACTTCAGAGAGGCTATGTCTCTCTACACCAGCCGAGAGTGGCCAGGTGAGGCTCTGCTTTTGGAGTTCCACCTCAAGGTCACAGGATTTTGGAGCTTGGACTCCAAATAATCCTATGTCTCTCCCCCAGATATAGGAACCCATAGGATTATGCCAGAAAGAGTCAGAAAATTCAGTCTATTATTTCCAAAGGAAACTTTCCATTAAGAAACACTGATCACATCTCAGCTTACCATCCTGAGAACACTTTCCAGGGAGTAATTTTATTTAATTCTTGAGTCAACATGTTTACAATTGTGCTGTCCATCCACGTGGTCTGACTGGGGCTTACCTACTCAAAGTAAATTCTGGGTTACACTGAGACCCTGATTTTAACTTTGCAACTTCTTCCAGGCAGCCATGTAATATGCATTCAAGAATGGAAACTACATGTAGTGGAAGCCAGATAAAGTATTACAACTAAGGAGCTACTGGGCAAATAAAAGAAATGTATATTGTCTACCCCAGCTTTTCCTAACATGGTGCTCTCCAGATGCTTTGAATGATTCTTGAAATGCTCCCAGAATTTCTTTTGGCCATGCTGGGTGAGCCTCTTGGGTCCCAAAAATTTGCAGGCCACAAAGTTGGGAAAGTCTGGACTACCCTACCTATGGAACCAGAAACATATAACAATATGACTGTATATTTTTTAAATGCAACACAATCGTTGTGTATACAGGAGTCTCTGCTCACTTCCAGATAATTATGGAACAGTTGAAATGTGATGTTTATTATCATATATAAACTGTGACTATAAACTGTGAATATAGACTCTGGCTTAGCAGTCTCTCCCATTTTTAAGAACATAAGAGAATAAAAATCATTCTGTTCTTGCACTCTGTTTCCAGCTGTGCCCAGAAAAAGAAAGTGAGAGAGAAATAAAATTGCAAAGGTGCATAAAAAAATGGCTCAACACATTTGGCAGTATGTTTCTTCTTCAGTGGCACTACCAATAATAAAAATGAACAGAAAGAAGTAAAGAAATGAAAGCCAATTCCAAGAAAAAAATGATGAATGAATTCAGCAGATAAATGATCAAAGGTTTACAAAACAAGGGATTTGAGAGCCAGTGTGGTGTAGCGGTTAAGAGCATGGGACTGGGACTCAGACAACCTGGGTTCTAGTCCCTGCTCAGCCATGGAGCCAACCGGGTGACTTTGGGCCAGTCACAGACTCTCAACCCAACCTACCTCACAGGGTTGTTGTTGTGGGGATAAGATGGAGGAGGAGAATGATGTAAGCTGCCTTGAGCCCTTTGAGGAAAAAGGCAGGATATAATTTGAAAAATAAATAAATAAATAAATTTGAAACTGGATGTCCATGGGACAATTACAAGCCAGGGTATTTCTTCACGATCAGTTTCCTGATTTCCTGTTGCTCACCCACAGCATATTATAATTAGAGAAATGCAGTCCAAATGTGGAGATGCTATCAAGCTATAAGGTCTAAATCGCTAGAGGCGAAGGATATACCATTATTCCACACTGAGAAATAGATCACTTGGTAAAAGCCATTGTCAAGCTGCAGCAGAGGAAAAAATGGGAAGCAGGGCCACTCCATGAATTGCCCTGAGAAACCAGCCCTTTTTGATTCTTCCTCTGCTTTAACTGGTTGTTATATGAAATTTGTAATGGAAGTGGCTCCCATAGATTGCTTTTTGTCCTCCTCCCTCCTAGTTCCTTCTTCTTTTCTGCTGGTTCTTCCAGGCTTTTATTTGGTAAGCCTGAGGGCAAAGACTGTTTTATTGTTGATTGTTCCCTGCCTCTGGAAAACTTGTTGAGGTAAAGAGAGATAAAATAGATCATTAGTTTTTTAGATACAGGTCCAAAAAAAGAAAGTTGACTGGGCTCTGTATTTAATTATGTGAATAATAGGTCTGACTTGGGATACTGCAATTTTTAAAGGATTAAATTATAAATATGTTTTTAATAAATTTATTCAAATAAAAACTGAGTCAGTGAAAACAGTGGGAAAGAATTTGTGGGTTACATATATAATTAGGACTTAGTTAAGTCCAATTTCCTACTGTTTTCAGTTTATTTAACCAGAAAAAAATTATTACATGCTTTGAGTTCTTCCAGAAGTTGACAAGGAAACAGTTTAGCTAAGATGTATCATGGAATAAGAGCATTCAAAAGAGCACTGGAAGTTTAGCTTTATAAGCAATTATCTTTGAATAAATAAGGCTATCATCCTGTACTCATTTATCTTGGAGAAATCCCATGGAACTCAATGGGGCTTACTTTTGGTTAGACATATAAATGATAATATGGTAAGAATCTAATGCAGCTGTTAGATTTGCTCAAAAAACAACTTTATGGCTAGGGTTGTTGAGCGACTCCTTCTACAGCAACATGTAGGTAAAGATTTTGATGGAGAGGTAGTGCAGACTGGGCAATGAAGGAGACAAAACTATTGCCCGTTCTGGCCTGGTCCAGCTGCCATTGGCCTTCCTAGCCATCTTTCAGGACCTGAGGCCTGACAAGTCTCTTCCAAGGAGAAAAGGGAGCAGGGAGTACTAGCAGCCCCCAGGCATAAGCACAGCATAGGGAATAAGGATGGGGAATGAATGGTACTCCAGATGTTGTTGGACCACAGCTCCCTCATTCTTTTCCATGGTCTATGCTGGGTTAGACTGGAAGAAGTTGCTATCCATGAACATCTAGAGGAGCAGATGGTCTCCAATTGCTTGCCCCAGTTTCTGGTGGCTTATGTTTATCAAAGAACACATTCTAGCTGATTTTACCAAATAATTGCAGAACACCCTCTAACTATCAAGAAAGACCACCTGGCCAAAATATGACCTTTGCTGTTTTCCTCAATTTCTTCCAACATTAGTTCTCCTTCTGCTTTTTCTGGAAGAGGCACATCAAACTGTAAATGCTTTCACACCCTTCCCATCTCTAGTTTTATAGGCAATCATAAATGATTAGTGAAACTTGCTCATGCATGCATGTCTCCCAGGCTGTACGGAAGAGTAGATGCTACCTGGATTTTTCAGTGCTGATGGGGGAAAAAAACCCCATTATCTTAACTATGGCTGTAGAATTCATAAGCACCATGATAACTGCCAGACTTGGATCAATATACTTTATAATTGATGTACCTTACAATGAAAGCCGCATGGAATTAGAGAGGGACACCATTTTATTAGGGTACATTCTTGCCCAGACTATTGACATGCAAACAGTTTGCTATCTGTAGGACTAAATGATGATGATTATCAATTATGTCTCTTTTTCATGACCAAGTGAAATGCAAACTCAGTAAACATCAAGAAACATGGGTGGGGGACATGTGGTCTTCAAGACATTGCTGGACTACAACTCCCATCATCCCTCATCATTGATTATGTGGCTGATGGCTGATGTAAGTTCTACTCCACCAACAGCGGGAAGGCATATCTGAGACTGCAGACTGTGGGAAAGGACAAGACATTGTGATACACTCGGCAGCAATGGAGGCTGGTGGCTCTGACGGTAGAAGGTTTTAGCATGAATTTTAAAGGAGCTGTACATGACGTTCAACCAGTCTAGGTTGAGCACCATGAATTGCTACTTAAAAGCACAGTCTGGCATGGTTACAGCAGTCTGCTGACATTGGAACTGCAGCCTCTGATGCTTAATGGGTTACAGTATATGGCCAGTGAACTGCATTTGGCTCACTGGATCAGAAATTAAAGGCATAATGAGAACAAGATAAAATTTAGTATGTGGAATAACTGATCTCTTGGGATGCTTCAGATTGTGCTGAGATCTATAATGCTGGACACAGACAGAGCGGATTCTACAAGATGAAACCTCTAGGAAGCTCCAGTGCCTTCTTGGCCTACTGTGACCATTCAGAAGGAGGAGGATGGACAGTCTTTCAGAGACGTTCTGATGGAAGTCAAAATTTTGATAGGTAAGATTTGGACCTGGAGTGAGAAAGAAGGTGTGGACACTTGGAGGATGGCGAACCTTCTTTTTTATCTAGTAATCATTCCTAACCATGAGAGAGGAAACACAACTTGTGTTGTGCTTCTCTTGAAAAACCTGCTTGGAGCCTACAATTTCCGTGGTTTTGCTCCAAGCACTCTCTACTTCCTTCTGGACCTCCTACAGATGAATGCATACGTGGATGGGGAAGGGCCACAGAGCTCATGCTTTGCATGCAGAAGGTCCCATGCTAAATTTCCAGTTTCTCCAGGAAGGGCTAGGAAAGAACCCTGCCTAAAACTCCAGACAGTCACTGCCAGTTGGGGTCAACAATAGTGAGCTAAATGGAAAAGCCAATATAAGGCCGCTCATCAGGCATCTAAAATCTTCTCCAAATGCATCAAAAATTGGCTGCAGTAATTGGTCTTCCTGTTTTTTCCTGCATTGACAATGGAGTCCAGGCTCCTCCTAAGTGTTCTTACATACTTCAGAGTGTTTGGTGTCTGAGGTAAACCCAGCTTTAATTCCTGGTGACTAGGGCAAAGCTGGTGAGAGCCTGAGAAGAGCTTCCTTTTTGGCATGAAAGATTGGAGTCTGATTCCTGACTAGGGATAGATGGGAAATGCATTTGGTTGATCTTTTAGTGCAAGCCTACCAAATTTGCATAGGTCGAACCTGACCTGAAATACAGATGAGGCACAATTCTATGCACTTTTAGACAGAAAAGCTCCTACAGCTCCTAGTTTTTGAATTCAAATGGGAATTTAGAATGTCTAAATGTCCTATGTCTAAATAGGCATAGGATTGCGCATTTAAACATCATATTCATGCATTCTCAATGTTTCCAATGCAGGTTGCAAAAACAAAATCTATGCAGTAAAAGCTTACATCTGAAATAGTGTCTAGAAAAAGTGTGTGTGTTGGAAGAATGCACAGAAAAGCTTTTTATTCAGTGGAAAAAATCACTTGCAAACAAAAAATACAAATGAAAAGGGGCACACACAAATGCACACAAATGTGTGTATTTCAGAATTGTTCATGAAAATATGTACACAATTTTATGTGGACTTTAAAAAATACAGTCAGATGTAGAAAAGGGTCAGAATGAATTTTAGAGGGCCTGGGTGAAATGGAACCTGACAGACTCACCCACCCCTATTCCTGAGTAGGGATGGTTGAGGAATTCAGTGTGACTTCTGATGTGAGAAGACCTGATCTGCCCCTCCTGGACACGAGATACCCTACAGGGCTCCCCTCTTCGTGCCCACCAAACTCTTGCCTTCCAACACCATATTTATTTGCATTTGGAGCATAGACTTTATTTCTTACTTGTTCTTAAGTTACTGGGCATGTTACTTTGTTTGTTTTACCAGTTTGCCTTCTGGGAATTCAGTATATTCTGATTGGCCATGCCCACCATGACAGCCATTTTATGATGCTCCTTCCCATAGCAGACATTTTATAGGACTGCCCATGACATTCTTTCAAAATTGCAAAGGTACTCAATGACTCACAAAAGTTGGGGATCCTTGTGACTAATGTGCAGATCTGAATATTGGTATTCTTGAGTTTTTGTACTTCCCCAAATTTTGCAAAGCAGTTCCCAGTTCAACAACAACAAAAAAGTATCAAAATGTACTTTTAAAGAAGGGATTTGGAAATAAAATGCATTCAGAAATGCCTATTCTGAGGCAAAACACATTTAAAAATGTGGTTTTTGTGAAACTATATATAAAATATGTATTTTTCTTTAAAAAAAGAATTTCAGATTAATACAGGAACGTGGTTATGAATTTATGAGTGAATGTGGAGGAAGGTAACATGAACTGGAAAAGACTGATCCATACCTCCCTTTTCCAAATATCCAAAGGGGAGTAGGAGTAGGATTTCCATAACACTGGAACTGAGATCAGGAAAGGCTGGTGTTTCCAACACCAGCAGGGCTTTGTACCAGCTTTAGATGCTACTGCAAGCTTTTAAGGAATGGTCCATGATGCCAAACTTATCTTGGCACCATCTTTCAGCACCACAGAGAGCTCCTTTAAAGCTCAAACTATGATCTGGAGCATATATACAGCCCCACATTGGACTCATATCCTCCACTGACTGGGGCAGAAGATCACCTAATATGATCAAAGATACCAAAGGTGTTCCTTGTAGACAAATCTCCATATAACAGGTCTTTACAAAGCAGCACCAATCTTTTCTGTATCTTGTCAAATCATGCTAATCATGCTATTTACGAGGGAGTTGAAAATAACGGAGTTCACTGAAGCAAATATATGGAAGGACCCCCAATATTCTTATGCTAATGTTGTGCTGTCATTTTGAAAGCTATTTAGCCAGGAAGGGTGTTCTTCAGACCCTCTTTGAAAGAAACGTATTGGAGAATTGCATTTTATCTTTCAGGAACTGGACTGACTATGAACAAGGTTTTGGTGATTTTTCATCACCAGATGGTGAATACTGGCTTGGAAATAATAATCTTCACTATCTCACCTCTCAGGGTAAGATGTGTGCAAATATGAGGGGAAACAAAAACCAAATATGACAGGGATATGTGCTAATTTTACAATAAAAGAGGGGCAGCAGAATCTGACTTCTTCACAGTGATCATAGCTCAGTGACTGTTCCAAAGGGGGTGTGGGGGGGAGGAGAGAGAGATCTTTTCTTTCCATTCTTGTATGATACATTGAGAACCTTCAGATGAGGCTTTTCTTGTGCAATCACCTTGCTCCATTCTCAGAATTTTAAAAGAGGAGACTCTTGTCTTCAATTTGTAAGACTTATCTTCAACATTTTCCCACGGCCCTTTTCATCTTTGTTGTTAACATGATAGAAAAATAAGTAAAGAAGAAAAAGAAGGAAAAGCTGCTCAATGTCTTTTGATTGGTAGTCCTAGCAGCATTTGTCTCAAAGCATCCTACAAGCTTATTAAAAGTAATGGCTGCAATCCTAAACACAGCTGGAAGTGATCCTTATCAGTAGGGCAAGCTTTTAAGTAGATATGTATAGGATTGCACCGTACAGTTTGAGTTTAATGCCCAGATTCCTGAGAGCAGTGGATCTCACAAATGAGGCTTTTCTCATGCCATTGCCTTCCCTTTTCACAGAATTTTAGAGGGCATCCACTGTAAGTCATTTGTCCACTATTTCTTACCACAGAAAGTGCTAGGAGTCTTCCATCAGAAAACACCCCAAGAAAAGACCCATAGAATTGCACTGTAAATAAACCCTGATGTTTGAAAAAAAGTAGTTTTAAAAGTGAATCTCTTCTTTTAATGTATATGCTTATCTCATTTACATCTCTGAGAAATGAGTTTTACAGAGGTGAGAGTGTAACAAAAGGGATCCATGTGAAACCAATAGAAGTGAAGCCTCGATTTACAACTATTGGATATCTCCACATTTATTTAAGCAGACATGTGGTTTCAGAAGACCCAGCAATAGGTCATATATATCATTATAAGGTTCACCTTTTTCCTTCTTCACCCAGGTTACTGTTTGATAGTTCCTGCTTTCAGATTTTGAAATAGCTATTACAGATATGGAAGGTTAGGCTTTTATTATGCAGCTGGACTACTGCATTTTCAGGGTCCATCCTTCATCTCCTTCCCTTTGTAGTCCTCCTGAGTTGTCCCACTTCTAGCTTTAGCAGAAAATCAATTAAGGAAGAAATGAAATAGCAGCACAAAGCTTTCGTGTAGGTAATGCTAAGAGCCATCTGTCTGGAAGTACAGACAGGGTGCTAATCAGTAGCAGAAGGGACATCAGACTTTTGATACCTATGGCCAATAGTGGCTCTGGGAGGTGGGATGTCTTTCTCTTTTGTTGGACCATGTATGTACAAAGGTTTCCCAAACAGATAAGCTGATAAGCTTACTGATAAGATGCCACCAGTCTGGTTGAACCTCATGATACATCCTAGTTTGTCTAAAAGGGTTACATGTTTTTGAGCCCAGGATTCCTTCCTTCAACACAGTTCTAGAACAAAGAAAGAAAGAAGAAGGGCGGGAGGGAGGGAGGAAGGATACCTCGGGTTTTCTTTCCAAAGCTAAGAAACATAGAACTTAACCAAAACCTTGTAAAAATCCTAAGAATACCAATAGTTTTGCAGCCATGTGATCATTCACACCAGTTGGGTTCAGACAACATAGCAACATATACTCAAGACTTGTCATTGAACTGTGAATTGTTGTTGAAACATAGGCTGTTGTGTTGTTTGAACCAAGCCAAGGTAACACACGCTATGGTGAGCAACCCACCGTTCACAAACCAACAACAAACCATGGGTTCTCTTCTCTTCTCTTTGTGGTTAATAAGTCATGGCTTATTAGCACAGCTGGGTTTCAGACACAATATATGTATTTATTGGATGTAGATTTGAAAGCTGTCCAGAGATGCGCAACGTAATTGGACAGGATAAAAATACCCAAATAGATAAATAAATAACCCACATGTCAACAACAACCCATGGCTTAGTGATAATGCACATTCAGCCTATATTCTATGCTTGAGTGTGGGTTATTGTCTTATTGAAACCCAAACATAGGAAAGGATTTTGACTCTGAAGCAGGGTTGGGAACCTCTATCCTAGATGCAGCCCCTGAGAATCAGAATCTTGGGGTTTGTCACAAGAACCACTATTCAATTACACTACACAGGAATCTTTCAGTCCTTTTAATAAATTGCATAGAAGCTCCTTTTTCCTTTTTTCTGGATCATTTATTCTCAACACCGTTGTTATTTATTCAGGGAATTATACTTTAAAAATTAACCTGTTGGATTTTATGGGTGAACAGCGCTTTGCACAATATGAAAATTTCCAAGTTGCAGATGCCCAGGTAATAATTTTACTTCATTTCCTAGCACCTTGAAATTTTTAATGGTGATTAGCATTCCAAATATTACAGGAAAATGTGTTGCATCTATCACATCCATGTAGATCCATGTAAGAAGGATTGGATAGAATAGATGGATAAATAAAATAAAAAGTTTGAATGACAGAACATGATAAAGCAATGCTACAAGTTTGGAAGGTTTGATTTTAAAAGCTGGCCATACATTGGATCATTCAGAAAAGTAGGATTTCAGCTCAAGGTCTCAGCAGATGCTCATCTTCTGGTGCTAGGAAGACTCTGCTGGGATCCCATCTTAGAGAATGGCCTTCTTTTCACCTTAGCTTCTTTCTTCTCTCCACTCTCGGACACAATTATTGCATGTTTAATAAAATTATTGAAAATGTTTGTATTTGCAAATAACTTGAGTTGGACATTGCATGTCAGTTGCCTCTCCAAATGTGTTTCTGAAAAGCTGAGACTGTGTTTCACTTCTATGTTACTCTTTCTCCTTTTCTCACCACTTCACCAGAGCTCCTACATGATGAGTTGTGGACAGTACCATGGAACGGCTGGAGACTCCCTCACGGGAGGGTTTCACCCTGAAGTGAAATGGTGGGCAAACCACCAAGGCATGAAATTCAGTACAAAAGATAGAGATAATGACAACTATGAAAATAACTGTGCTGAGGAAGATAAAGCCGGTTGGTGGTTTAACAGGTCAGTTTTACTTCTAAATACATCCAAAGGGTGCCCTGTTAGCTCAATTCACTGCTAGCAGCAAGGAGAGGCTGGTAACTCCCAAGTCAGTGGGGCTCCTTATCCAGTGCAGCTTTATAGGAGCTGTCCGTGGTACTGAACTCAGTCTGCAAAACAGGCTCACCACCATGGAGCAACATGGGGCTAGCACAGGTTCACTCAATGCCAACACCGCAATGCTGTAGTAGAATCGCCTTCCCCTATTAAGTTGCAGTCCTATGCACACATCAAGTGGACTCAGAGAGCCTCACTTTTGAGGCAACTCGGAATTGTGCTGCAGCTTTGCACAGAGGAAGTTCCTACAGCTAAGAGGTGCATGAACTCCCTGTCCACCTGGTGCTACCAAACAATCCATTATGGGAGCAAGAGATCTTATGTGTCCCACTTCTCTTTCCTAGTCATTCCATGCTGATTTGTTTTCTACCAGACGGAGGGCAAAGGGAGAGCAGCTCAGGGGGTATGTTAGCAGGAAGTGCAGTGCAGGTGAAGACAAGGGCAAAATGCATAAGACTGACAGCACCTCCTCTTGTACCATCATTGCTATCAGTTGTTGACGACACTGTGATCGAGGAAATTGTATGATCCAAAGTAATCTTAGCAGGGCGAAAAGTAACTGGAATATACTATAAACCACAGAAGTGTGGGGGAAGAAAAAAAAACTTATTTGTATTGACCTTGAATTATTTTGTATCACCATGTGTTCAGTCAAGAGAAAGAGACAGACAGAGAGACAGAGACAGAGTCATGTGCCAGAATCTTTGGGACTCTTTGCTTTACATTGAACAGATTTCTTGACAAGCCTCTGGGTTCCCTTTATGAGCTATCCGAGCCAATCACTGAGCATGCATCTCATTTCTGCTTCCCATTCCCACCACCACCAAGGAGCAAAGCGGTGGTGAGGAGCGCTTTCTTTCAGCTTCGGCTGATCCATCAGCTGCGCCCCTACCTGGAGTACGACTGCCTGGCGACAGTGGCACACACGCTGGTGACTTCCCGTCTGGACTTCTGTAACGCGCTCTACGTGGGGCTACCCTTGAAGATGGTCCGGATACTTCAATTGGTTCAAAATAGAGCTGCCAGGCTCCTGACAGGGACTGGGCGTTATATTCACATGACTCCAGTCCTCCGTCAGCTTCACTGGCTTCCCATTGAAGTCCGGGCCCAATTCAAGGTGTTGGTGATTACCTATAAGCCCTAAATGGCTTGGGTCCTGGTTACCTGAAGGAGCGCTTACGTCCATATATGCCCGCCCGCCCCCTGAGATCTGTGGGAGAGGCCCTTCTTCGGGAACCCTCCGTGAAGGAAATTAGGAGGGTGAGTACTCAGAGGAGGGCTTTCTCTGCGGTGGCGCCTAAGTTATGGAATGCGCTCCCCAGAGAGGTCCGCCTGATGCCATCGTTATTTGTTTTTCGGTGCCAGGCAAAGATCTTTTTATTCAAATGTCATTTTAATTGTTAATAGTATTTATTCATTTTATTTTTTGGTGAGGGCAACTTAATTTATACTGTTAATTTATATTATTTTAAGGAAGTTTATTTATGTTTGTGAGCTGCCCCGAGGCTTTGGCAAATGGGGCAGCATAGAAGTTTCCTAAATAAATAAATAAGTAATAAAGTAGGCATGATGATAGTGGACCATGAGTCAGAATGCAGATCATGCCAATTCTCCGTAGAGCAAGGAGGAGCAATTCCAAGCATGGCATGGAAACTTTGCTTGTGCCCGCTTCAAGAAAACCCGTGGCTTCTACTCATGGGGAAAAGATCTGTTGTGACTTGGGTGCATCTAGATAAGATGAAGAGCTTGGCATTCCCCTCATACTCTCCCACATTGTGCTCTAAATTGCCCCACCCTTGGCTTTGTAGGAAATTGGCAGTGACCCAATTCTGACACCTAGGTCTGCCACCATCATGCCTCATTTGGCTGACAGCCAGATCCAGTATGACTTTTCAGGAGAATATAGGTTGGCACTCGGAATGACTTAATTCATGTTAATGGCATGTTTTTTCACCCCCTGCTCAGAGCAATTCAGCAATTTTCCACAACGTTACAGGGAGCTGCAGAGCACCAGACAGACCAAATGTTATGAGCAAGGAAAACAGACTTTCACATGCAAGCATGTAAAATAGATCCATACTTTAGTGATGGTATATGTGAGGGAACTTTAATAATAGCACACAGACAAAAGGAAGGAAGGAAGGAAATTAAAATGTCAGCCCTGAATTTAGCTGGTTGCAAAATACAAGGCAATAGAATTCTTTCTGAAGATTGTGAAGAAACTAATTGTCTTCTGGGTACTCACGAATTTATTTATTTATTTTATTTAAAACTTTTCTATACCATCCCATCACAGACATCTCGGGATGGTTTACAACAAATTAATACAATAAAATAAGAGTAACAGTTTCACAGCAGCCAGAGTTAAAATAAAACCACTAAATAAAACAGGTTAACAATTAAAATACTGGCAGAATAAAAAGGGTTTTGCCTGACACTGAAAGGAAAGAAGCGTTGGTGCCAGGTGAACCTCTCTGGGGAGCGTGTTCCACAATCAGGGCACAATGAACATCTTCAACTGAGTCACACTTTTTAAGAGTCACAAAATAATAATTATAAATGTATTATTCCAGGTCTTCATATTGCTTATTTTATCACGAGTTTCAAACCAAACATAGGTGTGGATCCAAACTTCCTTTCCATGAACTTGACAGTGTTCATGTTCATGGAAGGGCGCTTTCCTTCCTTAACTCTGAAGTTTCCTCTGACCCCTGCAGATCTGATCTTGAAGTCTGACGAAACTTTGGGAATTATGTGAGGCCTGCAGAGGGAGGGAAGAAGGGACAAATATAATACACTCATGTATTTTGGGTGAAAGGAAGAATAATTTAGGAACCAAACCATTTTGGAGCCGGAGTGATGTGGTTGTTAAGAGTGTGAGACTGGGACTCAGGAGATCTGGGTTTTAGTCCCCACTCAGCCATGGGTGACTTTGCGCCAGTCACAGAATCTAAGCCTAACCTAACTCACAGAGTTGTTGTGAGGATAAGATTAAGAGGAAGAGGTGAATGATGTACATAAGCCACTTTGAATTCCTTGAAAGGAACAAAGGTGGAGTACAAATAAAATAGATATATAAATGAAAAACTTAAATTACTTGCAGCAAAATCCTATATTCCAGATGTTTTGAATGACAGCTCTCAGCATTCCTGACCATTGGCTGTGCTGGCTGAAGCTGATGGGAGCTGAAGTCCAAAACACATGGAAAGCACCAGGCTAGGGAGGGCTGGTATATATATCTACTTAGAAGTTTTTCTACTGAGTTCAGTGCAAATCACTCCCATCCTCAGAATACACAGGACTGCAGCCTCGTCTGCATTTTATATTCTTCCATACGCATTCCGAGTAGACCATCACCCACTTGGTCTCGAGATCAAAAGCCATCTGTGAAGAAATTATGTATTATCTGTTAGGCTTTGCATGTCATGGAGTCAGCTGGACCCCCCCCCCCCCAATACTGTCTGTAGCAGAACTTGTGTGTCTCCTAAACACTGCAGAAACTGCTCTTATCACAAGGCAGGGAAGGACGCAGCCATATTCTGTATTGTGGGGAAACTTAAATGACTACCTAGCAGTGGAAATAGAACTAATGCAGATTTTGAACAGAAGCATATATTAAGTATGGGATTGGCTGTCTTAACCGGATTACTGTTCAGTTTGATTCACCCCGCAGAAATGCTTCATGGCCTCATGCCAAGTGGCTGCGGGAAGAACACTGAACCGCAGGAAAAAAAATATATATGAAAACTTATGTATTAGGCATCCCTCTGTCACGCTTTCTGTTGAAGCTGCAACACTCATTTGGCAAAACCAATTTGGCTATAATAGCCAGGAAATTAATCCAGTGGGCTGGCTGACTGTGGCCGTCAACAGCACACTGTGGCTGCTGCCAGTGATAGGCTTTTCTCCACGCGGCTGCTAATCTGCTCTCGCTACCTTTTGTTTCGTTGCAGAATTGAGTTCCAAACTCTCCATTGCGTTTCCGTTTTCCCATGATATAGCCACTAGCTGGCAGTGTGGTACAGCAGGATAGCTCAGATACACAAATGGGGAGACAACTTTTTCCTTTGTTTTTTAAATAATACCAGATTTTCCCTGTCCTTCCCCCTCTCCCCCAAAAAAGAAAACCCTTTCCAAAAGTTTTAGAATCGGACACAAAACAGGAGGGCCGTGGCGTGGCCTAAAGAAGTCATAAACAGCCGTGATCACACAGTAAATGCCTCCTACCATCAATGCCCGAGAGTTTCCCTTACTTAATAGGCTAGCACATAGGAAGGCATTGCTGCGGGCTGAGTTCAAAGTACTACAGTGTTGAACAACTGCAGGACCAAACATAAGGAAGGCCTGCTTGCCACCTGCCCCCCTCCCCCATATGCTAAAGGACAGCCAAGGGCATCTACCCCAAGGGAAGAGGTGGGTCAAAAGAAACACGTTCCCTTATTCTGAGCTTGGCACAGCTGTTTGTAGGATTAAGCTCATCAGTGATCTATCTGATGGACTCATTTCTGGTCCATGAGCACTTACGCAAGGCTTCCCCAAACCTGTGTCTTCCAGATGCCAACTCCCATCATCCCTATCCAGCATAGCCAATGGTCAGGAATGCTGGTGGTTGTGGTACAAAGCACATGGAGGACACCAGGAAGGGGAAGGCTGGCTTATGCCCCACTAAATCCGTTAACCCTTAAATTTAAGTTGCCACAGACTTCTGTTGTTTCTTTAGGAAGACGATGAGTATGGTGGGTGGGTAGCTTGTGTGGGAACAGGCAGAAGGATCTGCCAAGCTGGAGCTTTACAATCACGCCATGGCAATCTCTCTACAGTTAGAGAAATTAGAAATCTCTCATGCCCATTTCATGCAGCAGTACTGTTTAGCCTGTAAATATAACAGGCTTTGCATTCAACAAAGA